TTCCTATTGACTCTCTCTTTCACACATTTGCGCCACAATCAACGCTAACGCAAACACCCACACACACACATAATTACTTACATACATACATATATACATACATGCATGTGCACGCATATATTTATAAATACAAACACGCATACATACAGGGAGAGAGAGAGAATGTGATAGGGATGGAGAGTGGGTAGATCACATTTGTTTGTATATTTGTAGGTGTGGGTGTTGGGTACGAGGACGCTTTTTCCGAGGGAGACCTCGCGGTCTTGTTGGTGTCGTTCAACTGCGAGTCCGACTGGACTCAGTCTTAGTAGCTGTCCGTCTGGTTTGGTGCGCTCGCCGGGGTCGGCGCCAACTCGACGAGAAGCCAAGTCAAATTGGGTCGGGTGTTTCCCAACCCCCGCTGGCAACCCGCATTGCCCAGTGTTTACCAACAATAAAGTTGAGGCCGTGTTGGCGTCGGTCTGGTCTAGGGGGTTGCGAAAGGCTGTCGGAGGCCTGCGGCCAGAGGCAGGGGTGCCTCGACAAACCGAGCGGGTGGGGCAGAGAGAGAGACAAATGTGATACAGAGACGACCTAGCAACCACGGCCGCAAGAGTCTGGACGACTGGAGCAGCACAGTTGTGTTGAGACGCCGTCACTGGTACCGGAGGTTGGATTCGGCGAAGATGAAGCGGAGGATGAGAGGTTGGCCCGGCCAGTAGGACACTGAGGAGGTCGTTCTGACCACCAACCGGACGGGACTCGAACTAAGGGTCAGAATGATCCGAGGCGGACGCTTTTGCCAACTGGCCAGATGAAAATTAGGGTTGTATGCATTTTAAGACTAGAAAAATATGCGAATAAAAGTTTAGTTTTGAGGAATCGCTTGCTGTGCAGTTTTGAGTGGAAATATGTTATAACGAGACTCGAGAGAAGACGACTCCGGACTCCTCCGGACTCCTCCTGACCAGCTATTCTTATGCACTCTGTTTCATCGATTCAGCTAAAGCGGGACAGACGTCTGTTCGCCAGATGACGACTATCACGGTCGACGAACACGGTATCATCCTGGCAACCATATTCAA